ACGTGGGCCATACGTTGCTCAAAATCAGTCTGGAATCCCAGGTCGGCTGAATCTCAAGTCTGAGTATAAAGAACATAGACCCAACATTGTAAGCCTGTCTTCCTCTCCCACATTTTGTAATAGGCAAAACCAGAAGCAGTATCTAGATTAAGCCTTGACTTTTTAGAGGTGTACAAAATTAGGACTAAGCATCGTCTCTTCAGCTCTTTGTTGCAGTTAACATTTTTGGAATGTTTTGTGCATGTCAGGTGCTATCCCAAGTGCTTTCCATGAACTAACTTCTCTTATTCTTGTAGCTCTATGAAGTATATTGTACAGATGAGAAAGATGAAGCACAGAAAGGTTAGGCCACTCGCTGAAGGCCACGGGACTGTGCGATGGGGCTAGTTTTGAAGCCCAGGGGAATTTAATTCAGGATCGGACCTCTTAACCTCTATGCTATAATGCCTAGACCTTGGATAATAGTTTAGGCCCTGACACTGCTATGTGACTTAGAGAAAATTTCCCATATGTGACTTAGACTTAATTTCCCCAAATCTCAATGTCCTTGTCAATACATTGGAGGTCATAAAAAGTCCAGTCACAGAGTTATCGTAAGAATATGGTAAATGATGCTTGTGGAGAATTTAGCATAGTCCCTATTGCATAGCAAATGATCCACAAAGAGCATCTACCTGTCCCCTCCTCTTCATCATCCTCATCACATCTCTAACCAAATAACTCCAGAAGTCTGGACTATTTGAATGATGATGATTTATTAAAAGAAACAAGTTCTCTTTCCCTTCATACCCTTGTAATCCCATCCACAAACCCCTATTTTCATGTCTTCCTGGACAAGGAACTCCAAACGATCACATCTTCAAAGGCCAGAGCGCTAGGAAAGGATGAACAGTTATTAGAGAAGAATGATCCTTAAGATCATTAGGAAGCAAACAAACAAATATGTATGAGACTGACCTATTTCTTCTGGGATCTGGATCCACAGTGTACAATTGAGAGGCAGTAGCTCCCAAATGTAGGAATCACTAAGAAACTGCAAGGAACCAGCAAGACCATACACACCCCAAGGATTGTGGGTAGATTGGTCAAATATGTTCTAAGCACATATGCTGACTCTTTTGTGTTTAATGTAACTTTTGTGTCTAATATAACTTTTGTGTTTAATATAACTTTTGTGTTTAATATAACTTACGTTGCAAACAAAAATGAATCATTGTAATTTTATTATGTTTTGCTTTTCAGTGAATGGCTAATGAAACATCCTGTGAGTCCCCTGCAATTTACCTGTGGGAAAGGTGTCAATATGACAATGTGCATTAGAGGCAATAAAATGAACATGCCTTTTGATCATAATTAGATACTATTAAAAAAAAAGAAACTATTCTAAGGAAATTAACAAGGACATGACCACACACTTAGCATCCATTGCAAGTCACATTAATAATATAAGCATGAGGAATATCTTAAATGTGTATTTAATTTATATAGCATGTAATTATATAAATATTATGTAATAAAATTACACCGATATTATCTAGTGTGTAATTAGATAATATTTGTGTAAAAATGAGGTAGCATTGCACCTAATTTGGATTATTTCACTTATAAATGTGGATGTGTTTAGTATAGGGTGTTAGGCAGTATAGGGTTCTGGAATGGGGGACTGCCGATGATATTTATCTTCTTCCTTTTGCTCAGTTGAATAATCTGATCTATCCTCCTTGACTTGCCAGGTAATGAAATTATTCTAAAGGTTTGGAGACCACCATCCTGTGATCGATGGAACTTTTTACTTGGGAAAGTAGGTAAAAAGGGGGGACCATCGAGAGACAGGTGGCTTCTGTTTCACTGATTTCTGAATGTGCCATTGGGGCCAGTGTACAACTTGCAGTGGTTGCACATGTTTTGCAGAAGCAGGAAGAGCCCTGTTGTTACCTATCATTCATCTGCGCAGACGTGCCCACACCCATTGCTGACACACCGCTCTCCCATCTCACAGTCCCAGTCACCTTGGCAGAGTTCTACGCAGGTACCTGTGTTAGAACAGAGAGAGATGACAGTCATTGTGCTTCAAGACAGGTCCTGGGGGAAGCGAGCCCCTGAATCAGCAGCCAGTTACATTTTTTCCTTTTCATTCAGCTCATAATGTAATTTAGAAGTGATTACTGGCAGAATGATGCTCATTTACAGCTTATCTATTTCAGTGAAAACCCACACATTCACCTAATCATTTCATGGGATCACAAGTCAAGCCTACAGTAACGATGGGGTCACCGTGTTTGTGGAGGGGAAGTGCCAAGAAGGCAACACCGGGGCCTACTTATGTGGAGGACATCTCTCCACTCTGTAGGGAAAGGAGCAGGGCAGGGTGGCCTCACATTGACGGGGTGCCATCCAGGGTGCCTTAGAGCCAGCCTGTGGTGTGGGGCTGCTAGCAGTGTTCATAGGTGTAGCAGCTGGGGCTCAAAGAGGTGATTTGCCTGCTAGATGCTTTAGCAGTGGGGCCCGACTCAGGGCTGCACAGCTTCTTGGTGTTTCTTTCTGCTGTGCCACATGGTCAAAATGGCCCTGACATAATGGTCCCTCCCAGATTCTGTGGCGTCCTACTTATCTGAACAAAGGTCCTCCAAGTACCCAGGACCTCAAGATTGGTTTTGAAGTTGGACAATCAACTTGGTACAAGAAGCGACTTAAGAGTCCACAGGGGATTGGGGAAAACATGCAGAGTACTGCATGACTGTAGCCTCTGTTTTGACTGGATACTCAACTCTTATCAGGAGCTGATCTGATCCAGTCTCTGGACCTCTCTTGGCCTTTGTTTCTTCCCCTGAAAAATGAGTCCTTTCGCTCCAGCAGAGGGGGAACGGGTTTTCTTCTCCAGTGTCCACTACAATCCGTCCAGGAAGAGAACTTTGTGAAAGCTGAGTAGAAAAGTCATGAATGCCTTCACCCAGCATGAAGAGAAAATGGTGTGTGGTCCAGCAGCTTACGAATGGTGTAGGAAAGGGGTCCTGGAGTATATGCCTACACTGTGCCTGCCGACCAACTCCAGAGAAGAACCACCCCATCCCTTCTTGCTCCTATCAGCTGTTGTCCGCCTGCAGTGAGAAGTTGAGAATTCCTGGGCCCTACTTCCAGGAGTTGAGTCCTTCATTAAGTATATGCCCCGAACACTAAACAATTACCACCAAGTCAATCCCACTCATCAAAATGTGTAGGACAACAATTGAAGTGCCCCCATTGAATTTCCAAGGCTGTAAACCTTTACAAAAGCACAATATCACATCTTCATCTTAAGGGAAGGCTGGTGAATTCAAACTCCCAGCCTTTCAGTTGGCAACCAAGTGCTTAACCCAGAGTGCCCCAAGGTTCCAAAGTATATGAAAAACAAACCCACTGTCATCCCTCAGACTCCAACTCATAGCCAGAGACGTGTACAGGCTTTCCAAGGCTGTCCCACTTTATGGAAGTAAATGACCTCATCTTTCTACCACGTCTCTCTCTTTAAGTACACACCGAAAACCAAAACCCACCTACTACCGTCAAGTCTACTCTGACCCATAGAGACCCTGTAGGACCAAGGAGAGCTGGCTCTGTGGGTTTGAGGCTGTTAGTATTTAGGAGAACAGAAAGCCTCATTTTTCTCACTCAGGGTGACTGGTGGGTTTGAACTTCCAACCTCGTAGTTAACGGTCCTATGTGTAACCCACTGTGCCCCCAGGGTTCCTGAGGTATATACCACAAACCAAACCCTTTGCCACTGAGTCAAATCTGACTCATGTGATCGTACAGAACAGAATAGAGCTGCCTATTGGGATTCTGAGGCTGTAAATGTTTCCAGGAGCAGAAAGCCTCATCCCATTTCATCTTTCTCCCAAGGAGTGGCAGATGGGTTTGAACAGCTATCCTTGAAGTTAGCAGGCCTGCACTTAACAGCAGCACCACCAGGATTCCTCATAAGTATACTCAAAAAGAAAACCAAATTCACAGCCATCGAGTTGATTCTGACTCATAGGGACCATGTAGGACTAAGTAGAACTTTGGGTTTCCAAAGCTGTAAAATTTTAAGGGGCCAGACAACCTCATTTTTCTCTCTCAAAACACATTTGGTGGAGTTAAATTGCTGACCTTGCACTTAGCAGCCCAAATGCCTCTGGGTAGACTCGACCCTCCAGACGTTCAGTTAGCAGCCACTTGTGGTAATCATTTGCACCACTCAATGATTCGGGCATAAAGCATAAGCCAACAAAACAAACCATAAACTCCTTGCAACCCTACAGGAGAGAGTCGAACTGCCCTTTGGGCTCTGAGGCTGTCATGTTTCCAGAAGCTGACTGCCACATCTTTGCTCTGTGGAGCCGATGAGAGCTTCAAACAGCTAACCTTTGGGTTAGCAACAAGGACTTAAGCACTGCAGCCCCCGGGCTCCAAGGTATAAAATACGGAAGTAGATTATTGAGGAGTTACAAAGACGTAAGGTAGGGCCATCACCTTCACGGAGTTTCACATCTCACATCAGAGAGAAAACAACCATTCAAAGTACTGAAATCCAAAGCAGTACGTGGGAAGTGACCCCGGGAAGTGACCCCGGGAAGTGACCCCCGGAAGGCCTATCTAGATGAGTCAATGGGCTCGGAGGGAAGAAGACGTGCCTTCCAATGAGAAGAGGAGAGTTTTGAAGTGCAGGACCTTCAAGGCAGAATTCTGGGGAGCGATGCAGTATTGGGAGAAAAGAATTACCAGCCACAGTGGGAGAGGAAATAAACCAGAGGGAATGAGGTGTGGAATGAATGAAGTTGAGCTGGTGCCTGGGAGGCATCATTTAAGGAGACGCTTGCATCACAAGGGGAGGAACATGTCGGTTTTACACCCTGGGTGTCTCCCCAGCCTCACCCCTGTCCCCTAGTCCAGGCCCTGCATACAGCGTTCACAGAGAATGACATGTGGAGGCTTTCCACTTCAGCGGGACAACTGGACAAGGGTTAGAGAAGAGAGAGGTGGACGTGCAGCAGGAACAAAAGGGCAATGACACAGAGGGCAGATCTTGAGGGCCTGCAGAGTGGATCGGGGGTGATATGTGGCGACGGATGTGATTACCACTTTCTTGGGAGGATGACTGTTTTGGGAAGTTACTGCTGTGGTTCCCAAAAGGAAAGCCAGCTCTGACTTAGGGTGAGCCGTGGGTCCCAGAGTTCACCTCGGGTTTTCTTAGCTGTCATCTTTACAGGCCTTCCTTCAGGGGGACGTAACAGGGCGTGTTTGAATGGCCGACCTTTGGGTTAGCATTCAAGCATCACCTTTTGCACCATCCGGAACCTGTGCTGGCTCAGGGATGGAGTAAGCAGGGCAGGACAGGCTGCGTGGCAGGGGCCACGGGAAGGAAGGAATACATGCAAGAGACCATTTCAAAGATGGGCTGTATTTGGCAATGAGTCCGATGTACAGAAAGAAGCGTAACGAAGAGAGAAGAGTGAGAGTGGAGCCCAGTAATGTGGAGAGGAGAGGAGAAGCAATAGATACAGGGAGAGAGAATCCAGCCGTAAAGAAAGCTTGAGCATTGAGGGGGTGGTCAGCACTGCAGAGGCTGCCATGGCTTTGTTGAATGAGGAGAGGCAAGAGATTTGTCAACAGGACCTTGGGGCATGGAGGGTGGGGGACCTCAGGAACATGATGGGAGCAGAATGGGGACTAGAGCCTTAAAGGGATTAAGGAATGAGCTTTGGGAAATCAGAGGCAGGAAATAAAGATTACTCCCTAGAGAATAAAATAAGGAAAAAGGAAAGAACACATTAAGATGATTGTTGTTCCTACGATTAAGGAAATGTTCTCTCTAGCTGATCCAACTGATGTGTAGCCCAGGGATGACCCTAGGTTGGGGTGGGGATGGGGGAAGGGGAAACGATGGGGAGGTGGAGGAAGGTTGGTAGAGCAGGGGCTGGTAGATGGGCCGAGGGAGAGAGTCCTGGTGGAGGAATGACCCAGAGAAAGGAGGGACCGAGAACGGGGTGGGGGGTGAGGCAGAGAGATTCCGGGCTAGGGAGCAGTCCAGGTGTCGTCCTGCAGTGGCTCCTGAAGAGAGTCTTTTTGTCTTTTCCCCTTTCTCCCCTCCTCTCCTGGCCACACTAGTCCCTGGTTGTCTACTTTCCAGCTCCCTTGCCTGGTGTCTGAACTCACCTAGAACATTGAAGGGGATCAGACCAGCCTGAAGTTCCTGCACCCCGAAGCTGAGAGCGAGAAGACCCATAAGGATGAGGATGCCTCCCGGCTTCATGTTGCCCTTGGAAGCCTTTGGTGGAAATGCAACAGGGTTGAGAGCTGAGCAAATTTATGCTCTTCTGCCCGCCTACTGGGTCACAATGCAAGGCAGGGGTGGAGCTAGGGAAGTTGAAACCCTGCCCAGAACCTGACATTTCTGTAGACCACAAACTGTCTCTCCCTAAGTTCCCTAAGCAATTCTCAGAGCCAAGGGAACACCCTCCTCCGACAAGCAAATAAGACTTCTAAGCCAGAGAAGCTTTGAGTCATCCCAAAATAGGGGTAGGGTGGAGAGATGGGCACGCACATTGAGGGTGCACTTCCACCCATTTGTAGTGACCCGACAGAGCAAGGCTGTGGGGTTCCAAGACGGTAACTCTTTACTGGAGTAGAAAACTGCATCTTTCGTCCTCAGAGCCACTGGTGGTTTCGAACTGCTAACCAGCCCAACTCACAATCAAGCAGAATTGCTCTGAGTTGGCATTGACTCGATGGCAGTGAGTTTTTGGGTGCATTTACTCGTGCATTGTCCAAGTATTATTGAAAGCCTCTGTGAGCCCGGCTGGTGCTTAGCAGGAGGAATGAAGGATTGGAAAGGGAAAACAACAATAACAGCAACCAGACACTCTCCCCGTCCTCGTAGAAATGACAATGGAGGAGCCAGGAGGCAGGGTGTTTTATGTATTTTTATCTTGGAGGAAAAGTAGAAATTCTGCATTGTGTCTTGAAAAATATTTAGATTGTAATCTCTATTTATTTATTATATTTTAAGCGTTGTATTGAGGGCTCTTACTTACAGCTCTCTCCCGTCAGTTGTATCGAGCACATTTGTACATAGGTTGCCATCGTTATTTTCTGGACATTTATTTTCTATTGAGCCCACGGGGTTAGCTTCTCTTCCCACCCATCCCATCCTCACCCTGTGGCCCCTTGATGAATGATTACTATATTCATATCTTACACTGACTGCTCTCTCCCTTTCCGCTGGGTTTCTGTTGTTCATTCCCCTGGGTGGGGGTGTGGATGTGTCAATCATTCCCTTCTCCCCACCTTCCCCCTCCCCTCCTGGTATCCCT